ATAAAATGCTATGTCTCATGTTATATTGATATACTACAGTACATGATTATACAGTAATGGCCAAAATTGTGGAAACCTTTTGGGATTTGTGTATTTTCTAAAACTAGCTAATCACACCACTTTTTTTTGGAGTAGTACCATAAAATTATATATCAATGGATAGATAATTTAATCAAGAATGTAATGCAATAACTTTTATGAAGGATTTTCTATTAGAATAGCAGTTACAGTATAAAGAAGAAAAGTGAAACGTAGAAAAAATGAGATATAAAAAAAATTATCGACATAGAAAAACGAGATATACAAAAATTATTACATCAGTTAATACTTAGCTGGGTAACCTTTAGCATGAATGACGGCCTTACAACGTCTTCCCATGGAGTGAACCAAGTTTTTTAGTTCTGCAGCTGTTATAATGTGAAATCAAGATTGAACGATTGCTTCTATTAACTGAGTTTTATTGCTGGGTCGTTTCTGATTAACAAGTTTCCTTAGTCGGCTCCATAGATTTTCAATTGGGCTATTCCCAGGCCATTCCAGGAGTGGAATATAATTATCTTGAAACTCCCCCCCCCAAAAAGTGGTGTTATTCGCTATCAAACCTCAAAAATACACTTTTCCCAAAAGGTTTCCACAATTTTGGCCACTACTGTATTCTCAGCCTGTATATACTATAGCAATAGCAACAGCCTTAGATTTATATACCGTTCCATTGTCATTTAGAGCACTCTCTGAGCGGTTTACAAATGTCAACATATTGCCCCAACAATCTGGGTCCTCATTTTACTGACCTCCAAAGGATGGAAGGCTAAGTCAACTTGAGCCTGTCAGGATTGAACTCCTGCAGGTAGGCAGAGTTAGCCTGCAATACTGCATTCTAACCACTGTGACACCTGTGCTCTACATACTATAGAAATCAAATCAAATCAATCAATAAAAAGATAACCCACTCATTTGGATCTCAACTATCCCACTTGTTGGTGAGCTTGCTTTTTATCACTATGGGTAAAACAAACTCAAACCAAGATACTTTTCTTCACTATTATTTTCTGTGGTTCTTCACACTTCTGTCTAATTGCTGCCTTTGACAACTTTCTTCTGGTCTAGTTAGGGCTTAACCAAAGTTGCTTCTGATGGTGACTAACATTGGCCATGGAAAGATGCAGGATGTGACAGTCTATCTCACAAACATTTTTAGGACATTCTGCATAGAACGTATAAGCTCAGTCTCTGTTTTCTCTTCTGGAAAGGAAGGATTTTAATGGCCGCTTTTCAGTGCCAGAAAAAAATGCGCCAAACAATGTTTTGGAACTATATTTCTATTCATTGTTTAAAACAGATATACAATTGCAATTTTGGAGGAGTAATTTGGAAGCCAAAGCAAGCAGCTGGCAGCTAAAAACAGTCCTGTGTACTCATTTGTAATGCTTTCTGTTTGTAATTCTATCTGAAATCACAGACTGCATTGGAAGAAGGCTGACAACCATCATTGGGATTGGATCAGGCCTTTGAACCACTATATCGCCTGTAAAAACAAAGGCAATCGTCATGTTGATGATTAAAGCACCTATCTGCACTGGAAATGTGCCATGGACTTCAGTTAGATATAGATTTACAACACAAACCTGTGTTTCTTTAATATATTGTTTTGAACTTTTCTGTTAAAAGACATCAACTAGTGAGTAAATCTGAAACAGTTTATAAGTAACATTTTTTATCAAAGAACTAAAGCTCTTTCCAAAAAAACAAAAATCACCTCCAAATTTATGAGGGTTTAGATATGCCCATAGAGTGCAAATCTGTGTTTATGTAACATATTTTTTAAATGTTTCTATAAAAAGAGCCTTGGTGGCGCAGCAGACTAAAGTGCTGTTAAGTAACACCAGCTGCCTGCAATTACTGCAAGTTCAAAACTCACCAGGCTCAAGGTTGACTCAGCCTTCCATCCTTTCGAGGTAGGTAAAATGAAGAGCCGGATTGTGGGGGCAATAAGCTGACTTTGTATAAAAAAGAACACCGCTTGGGGGGGGGGGAAGCCCTACTAAGCAGGTATATACAAAAGTATGAAGGCTATTGCTTAACACATTGTAAGCCGCCCTGAGTCTCCGGAAAAGGGCGGCATATAAATCGAACCAATAAATAAATAAATAAATAAATGAATAAATGAATAAATGAATATGATGAATAAATAAATAAATAAATAAATAAATAAATAAATAAAAAATAAATAAATAAATAAACTACTGTGTTCCCCCAAAATAAGACCCTGTCTTATATTAACCCCAAAATAAGCGCTTGGCCTTATTTTTGGGGAGGTTTTATTATTTTAGGGGGTGTGGAGCAAGATGCAGCTCCTCTTGCCATCTTACCGGATTTCCAGCTCTGCATTTAAATATTTTTGGGGAGGGCTTATTTTAGGGGGGAGGCTTATTTTAGTGCATGCTCTCAAAAGTCGATTGGGCTTATTATCAGGGGATGTCTTATTTTCGGGGAAACAAGGTAGTGAGTAAACCTAAAACAGCTTATAAGTAAAAATTTTTATGACAGATCTAAAGGCTATTCTGGGGGGAAAGAAACCCCTATGAGGGTTTAGATCACAGGTGGGATTCACTTACCTTCCCTACCGGTTTACAAATGTGAGCGCGCGGGCCTCTGCCCATGCACACAGCCTTCCGCGCATGCACAGTGCTCACGCACTATGTCCGGGTGGGTGGGTGGAGCCCCCCGCAATCGCTGCTACTGGTTCACCCGAAATGGACAGAATTGGCCTAATCCACCTCTGATTTAGATATACACATACAGTGCTGTGAGAAGAAAAACTAATTATTTATTCTCTGGTGATAGAAAAGGAGTTCTGTGAATATGAAGTTTTTAGAAGCTCGGACCACCATTACGGATACTACAGAGGATTTAGTGACGAGCAATGGATTTAGATGAATCCTGGATGTGAATTTAAACAGATGTTCATTTGGTTAACATAGCTTACCATGATAGGGTGTGGAAAGTAAACTTCAAAAGTTATGATTTTAACCTATTCATTAGATAGATGTCTATATATGATCAGGAGCGGGATTCAAAATCTGTTGCTACTGATTTGCTCGTGGGCGCGCGTGGATGCACGTGATGCTTCTGCACATGTGCAGAAGCTTCCGGGAGGGTGAGCGGAGCGTCCCACCGCTGCTGCTACCGGTTTGCCCAATCCAGGGCGAACTGGTAGCAACCCACCACTGTATATGATGCTAAAATTTGAATTCCTCCATTAAAAGGAACAGGATTTACTGGCATAAAAATCCATGATGTTGCTGAACTTCTATGTGTACTATCGAGTAGCTTAGTGAAGGAGTAAAGAAGCAAGCAAGGAAGGAAGAAGTCAAGTTATCTCACATTAAAGTGTAATCCTCATCTGTGGGGCCAGTCCAAAGAACTGTGATTCTGGTAAAAAGAATGGAAGGGAGTGCTTTGTAATTGTTGCTCTTGAAGGAAAGGTAAGATTTATTTATTTATTTGGGTTATATGCCACTCCAATCACAGCCGTCCCTGAACAGCTTACACCTTACTACATCCAGATAGTATTAGGATTAACCACAAAACCCAAATGCATATAATCTTGCTGGCGTGTTAATTTTATATGTGTCAAAGGGGTTTGGAGAGGTTATAGATGTTTAGGACACCTACTATTACTGTTCCAAAAATGGCATATATCCTTAGAATGCTACAAGTCTTTCTATTGTTATATATATCATTTGGTGGTTCATTGCATGCTGGGGATGAGGAAAATTAGATGGTGGGGTCATGCAGTGCTTTTCATTTATGAGGCAGAACACAAAACCAGGTTTCTCTGTGGAGAAACCTCTCTCCATATAACCGGTCCCTGGTGCCTGAAAGATAGAGAATCTCATAGAATGGGATGGGATGGAAGGGAAGGGAAGGGAAGGGAAGGGAAGGGAAGGGAAGGGAAGGGAAGGGAAGGGAAGGGAAGAGAAGAGAAGAGAAGAGAAGAGAAGAGAAGAGAAGAGAAGAGAATGGAGAAGGAGAAGGAGAAGGAGAAGGAGAAGGAGGAGAAGGAGAAGGAGAAGGATTATGAGGTCCTTAGTGCTCTTTGAGCTTGGTGGTTTTCTGGTAGACATTTCATTACCAAACTAGGTATCATCATCAGTGCTAGAAGGAAGTGGGGTTTGCAGAGAGGAGGAGGAGGAGAAGGAGAAGGAGAAGGGAAAGAGAAGGGAGAAAGAGAAGAAGGAGAATGACACAAGGAGAAGCAAAGAAGAAGGAAGGAGAATGGAATAGAATGGAATGGAAAAGAATGGAACAGAACAGAACATATGGAATGGAATGGAATGGAATGGAATGGAATAGAATAGAATAGAATAGAATAGAATAGAATAGAATAGAATAGAATAGAATAGAATAGAATAGAATAGAATAGAATGGAATGGAATGGAATGGAATAGAATGGAATAGAATAGAATAGAATAGAATAGAATAGAATAGAATAGAATAGAATAGAATAGAATAGAATAGAATAGAATAATGGAATGGAATGGAATGGAATGGACCTTGGAGGTCTTCTAGTCCCTTGCTTAGGTAGGAAACCCTATACCATTTGAGACAAATGGTTATCCAAACTCTTCTTAAAAACTTCCAGTGTTGGAGCCTTCACAACTTCTGGAGGCAAGTTGTTCCACTGATTAATTGTTCTCATTGTCAGGAAATCCCTCCTTAGTTCTAAGTTGCTTCTCTCCTTGATTAGTTTCCACCTGTTGCTTCTTGTCCTGCCTTCAGGTGCTTTGGAGAGTAGCTTGACTTCCTCTTCTTTGTGGAAGATAAAGGTGAAGAAGAATGAACGAAGGACACCTCTTTTTAACCAAGATGGGAAACTTTCTTGGAGGATACTTCTTTTTCATTGCCTTAGTCGTGATGGCTAGTCCTTGACTTATGACCGTTTGGTTAGGCACCATTTGAAGTTACAATGGTACTGAAAAAAAGAGTCCATGAGGAAGGGAAAACAACCTGGTGGAAAGGGAGCACATTGGGATTTCCGAGGTAGACTCAGGAGCTCACATCTTCCTAACTTGGGACATCTTTCTCTTCCCTGCCAAGGTCAGAGCTGCCTTTAAGCACAAAACGAAGGTGTGGTCGCTCACCAGCAGCTCCATCCGCAACATCAATGTGAAAGCTTTCAATTCTGATATCGTAAGTATTGCTAGAACCCCTCAGCCTTCTGTCTTCCTCTAACGAAGAGTGGAACACCCCAAAAAAAAAAACGAAATCTGAAAAGGTTCTTTCCTAACCGTGTCTTCTCCAGCATGTCTTCCGACCTAGGCTTCCTGAGACAGTAAAAAGCACACGGTTAGTCCCAGAAACCCTCTTTTTATGTCAATGGCTGTGAATTAAGTTCATTCACAGCCCGTACTGAGTCCCGAAGAGTTTGTAAAGAGTCCGACAGAAGTCTGCCACAGTCCTTTGGGATAAGGATGATAAACACCCACCTTTATCTCCCTTGAAACGCTGCCAAAGACCTAATTGGCAATTAGCTTTGCAAGGTCACACGCAGCACAGAGTCAAAACGGAGCTTCAGATTTTAAACTGACAAGAATGAACAAAGTTGCTTCCTGCAAAGGCTCATGTGTCTTTGCTCCTCCTTTATGCCTTATGGGAGGGACCAATCATCTCCAAGCCCTACTCCTGAGTCGTCCCTTTTGTTTTAACTGTTCTTGCCTTCTGGCAGCTCTGTGCATGCACGCACTGGGAACAGGCTCCCCCTGTTCCTCTGCCTCACTGATGCCTGACTCTGGAGGCTCTGGAGTCTGTGAATCACTCCCAGATGGCCCTGGCGCCCTCTCTGCCTCTGACGCAGAGCCCTCATCCGAGCCTTCCCCAGACTCCAGGACTGGCCTATGTTCCTCCCCAACCTCCTCACTATCTGACTCTGCTGCCAGCTCCACAGGCCACTGGCGGAACACAACAGCATGTTCTGATGATCTCTGGAGGGCCCGGGATAGGGGTTATTCCTCTATCCTGGTCCTATTAGACCTCTCAGCGGCTTTTGATACCATCGACCATGGTATCATGTTGCGCCGGCTGGAGGGACTGGGAGTGGGGGGCACTGTTCTGCGGTGGTTCTCCTCCTATCTCTCCTACCGGTCGCAATCCGTGTTGACAGGGGGGCAGCGGTCGACCCCAAGGCGCTTTGTTTGTGGGGTGCCGCAAGGGTCGGTCCTCTCGCCCCTCCTGTTCAACATTTATGTGAAGCCGCTGGGTGAGATCATCCGTGGTTTTGGGGTGGAGTTCCATCAGTACGCTGATGATACTCAGCTGTACATTTCCACCCCAGACCATCCCAATGATGCCTTGGAAGTGATGTCCCAGTGCCTGGAGGCCGTGCGGGTCTGGATGGGGAGAAACAGGCTCCGACTCAACCCTTCCAAGACCGAGTGGCTGTGGCTGCCGGCGTCCCGGTATAGCCAGCTGACGCCATCGCTGGTTATTGGGGGCGAATCATTGGCCCCCACGGAGAGGGCCCGCAACTTGGGTGTCCTCCTGGATGCATGGCTGTCCTTAGAAGGGCATATGACAGCCGTGGCCAGGGGGGCTTTTTGTCAGGTTCACCTGATATGCCAGTTGCGCCCCTTTCTGGACCGGGACTCCCTACGCACGGTCACTCAAGCACTCGTCACTTCTCGTCTGGACTATTGTAATGCTCTCTACATGGGGCTCCCCTTGGGGTGCACCCGGAGGCTCCAACTGGTGCAGAATGCGGCTGCGCGGGGGATTATGGGAGCGACGGGGCGCTCCCATGTGACTCCTCTCCTGCGTGAGCTGCATTGGCTTCCGGTGGACTTCTGGGTGCGCTTCAAGGTGTTGGTGATCACCTTTAAAGCGCTCCATGGCTTAGGTCCAGGGTACTTACGGGACCGCCTTCTGCCACCAATAGCCTCCCACCGGCCAGTTCGCTCCCACAGAGAGGGCCTCCTCAGGGTGCCGTCGGCCAGACAATGCCGGCTGACGACCCCCAGGAGGAGAGCCTTCTCTGTGGTGGCACCTACCCTATGGAACAATCTACCCCCAGAGATACGAGTGATCTCCGACCTCCGGATTTTTCGTCGGGCCCTAAAAACTCATTTTTTTCAGCTAGCCGGCATGTCCTGATTTTAGGGTTAGTTTTAAAATTTTAATATTTATTTTAATTGACAAGTTTTAAATTATGGGCCAAATTTATAAATTATTTTAACTTTATTTTTAACTGTGATGTTTGTATAGATGTTTTTTATCTGGCTGTTCACCGCCCTGAGTCCGAAAGGAGAAGGGCGGTATAGAAATTCGAATAAATGAAAATGAAATGAAATGTTCCAGACCTATGTGCTGATTTCAAATTGTCATCATTGATGATTCAGAATAACAGAGTTGGAAGGGACCTTGGAGGTCTTCTACTCCATCCCCTGCTCAAGCAGGAGACTTTATACCATTCCAACCCTGGAATCCAGTTGGGAACCATCCAGGCTTATTCCAATGATGCCAATGTTGATTTCCACTACATGCTGACTTTGGTAGGGTCTCCCTTGGTAGAAGGTTGCTTCCATTGTACTTATTGGGAATGTCCATGCAACGTGGCAACCTAAGTCAAGTAAAGACTTAGAAACCTGTTTAGATTGGGTAGGTTGATCCTTGAATATTATGTTTCTTTAAATTCAGTGCTTTGAGCTAATCCGGCCCATTTTAGAAGTTTATAATTCAACTTAATGGCCCAACCCTCCAAATGGGTGAAATCAGTAAATTAAATAAACATGAACATTGTCCTCTTAACTTGGTGGACCTGAAGAGGACCTAGTGAAATTCATGGGCGAAATGGGCCATCAGGTGCTGCTACTGTAAATGGGTTGTATCGGAGATGAGCTGCTCATAGGTAGTATCACTGAAAGAGCAGTTGTTGGGATCAAATCCAAGAAGAAGGTAGTTACTTTCTTACATGTGCTTGGGAGGTCTATCATATGTTGCTGTTCTGCCCCAACTTCGGATTCCCAGAGAATGTGACACACACCAAGCTTCACAAACACTGTTTAATCCCAAAACAAACCCCTTTCAAGAATGCAGGCTTCCCGTGCAAAGGGTCCTTATCAAAGTATTGCTGAGCACATTGTAAGCCGCCCTGAGTCTCCGGAGAAGGGCGGCATATAAATCAAATTAAAAAAAAAAAGTTATTAAGAACAAAGTCCGACAAAGGTTGGCAACCAGCCCAGAAAACTAGATATGAGAAGTCGCTCGCTCTCCAAGATACTCTGTAGTAATGAGACGTTGTTTCTAGCAAGAAAGCACTAGCTGTGTGAGACTTAAATAGGCTAAGGGAGTGGCCAATTATTCTCAAGCCCTATTCTCGAGTAGACCTCCTCCTCCTGAGTAGCCACTCCTGCCTTTTGGCAGCCCTGCGTGCTCGAGCATGAGAAGAGGCTCCTCCACTTCACTCTCTTCACTTGAAGGAGCCTCTGGAGGTTCTGCCTCTGGCATCACATCCTCTTCGGCCTCCTCGCTGTCTGATGCGAGCGCCGGCTGCGCAGGCTGCTGGCGCGACATCACACCAGCCTCCTCGTTGTCGGGATCAGCCACGATCCGCGCAGGCTGCTGGTGGGCCACAACAGATGCATAAAGCTGGACTAGATGAGTTTCATCTTGAATCCAAGAGGTGCATGAGAGAAAGTGTGTAGGTACTGTATATTAGCAATTTCTCAATGCTCCATCAATTAGGAGTCCTTGGTCCTCTCTGAGCTTGGTTGCTTTTTTGCAGATGTTTCATTATTCAAATTAGGTAACATCATCACTGCGAGAGAACAAACTAGGCAATATCACTTACCTAGTTTGGGTAATGAAACATCTGCAAGAAAACAACCAAACTCAGAGAGCACCAAAGACCCCTCATTTCAACCCTGATTTACAAATATTCTCCTTTATTGCTCCATCCATTATCCATCAACTCTTTCTTTCTCAATCCAGATAACTGTGACCAAGCCCGCAACAACGCCAACCACACTCAACACTAATGACAAAAGCAGTCATTCTGGCAACAAGATCGACCTTTCCGCCGTCTAACATCTACCCTTGTTGGTCCTTCCTTCTGATACCCAGGCAAACCACATCCTCAGGATCTTCGATTCGTTGCCTGACTACCTATTACTCTCTGAGAATTTGTTCCCGTAGGAAGCACCTCTTTACTTCCTTCCTGCTAAACTGAGGAAGGGGGCAGAATTGCCCATTGGACTGAATCCATACTTCCAGATTTTTCTGGGCTTGGTGTGACCTCCTTTTGGCTGGGAGGACTAGCTATGGAATAGCCAAGGGACATTTTACACTGGATGGTCATCTAAGCACTGGCAGGGATGAAGCTGAGGAAGATTTGTGGGGAAGCCCCAAAGGTCCTTTTCCAAGAGGCAACTAGACTTTCTTGAGTTTTTTGGAAGACATTTCACTTCTCGTCCAAGAAGCTTCTTCAGCTCTGACTGAATGGTGCACTCAGATTTTGGTAGTACACTTGTCCCCACCCCCCACCCCCAAGGATAAAACACCCAGACACAAACTGAGCAATGTTGTATATGCAGTATAATGCAGTGAGCCATGTGCAGATCTGTATATTGGGGAAACAAAACAACCACTTCATAAACACATGGCACTACATAGGAGAGCAAACCCATCAGGAATATATTCAACACTTTCACCTGCATTTAAAAGACAAAGGCTACTCTTCTGAAGACAGCAAAATCCACATTTTGGACAGAGAGTACTACTAGTTTGAAAGAGGGGTTGAAGAGATCGTCTATGTCAAAATTGAACAGCCCTCTCTCAACAGACACTAACATTGAAGAGCTCTTGACCAGCTCTTTCTATACCTAGGCATTAGATAGTTGAAGAATACAAAGGAGAAGCTACACCAGGAAATACCTAACTTCAAACCCTGTATTTGAAGCAAACACTACAGAAGCAAAGACAATGGAAACCAAGCTCTGTTTTTTTAATCTTGGCCTGGAGACCAGCAGAAACAGTAGATGTTATATTTGAGCCTCAAGTACATCTGCTTGGTGGTTCTTCAGATCATCCTTACTAATGCTGGTGGTGATGGACACCTGCAACTTCACATCATTGCAAGAGGCTTCTATCTCACCTGGGGAAAACACTTGTACAGAACCCTCCCACCTTCCCAGATGAGACTCCAGGTCTCCGCTGAGTCCTGTTTGCAGACTGATGGGAATTCTCCTTTGTTGAAAATCACAGTTGCTTCGCTGTCCATCTTTGCCAGACAGAACAAAACTTGAATGCCAAACAGCCACATTCCTCCCCCCCCAAAGCAAAACGAAATAAATAGAAACAACCAACCAACCTCCGCAGAAATGAAGAAGGCAGAAAAAAATGACTCTGAGATGTCAACCAGGCTGCAGCTGGAATTGTATGATTATCCACAGATGTCATTTTAAAAAAAATTTTATTCCTTTCTCCTGATAAGCAAACGGTTGAGTTTTTCCAGCCTGGCAGCAATGCTGTAGGCTTCTGAAAAGAAAAGCAATATTTGATTAGTTCAACTGAGGACTCCCCGCCTCCCTTTATGGATTTCACTAGTAGAGTTCCCTCACTGATCAAGTTCCAGGAACTTCCTAAATATAGTGTATCTCGGCAGTCTTAAGCACTAGAAGCTTGTTTTTTTTAAAAGGGGGAAGCAAACAGGACACAAAAAAGAGGGGGGAGAGAGAGAGAATGAGAGGGAGAGAGAGAGGGACAGAGAGAATAAGAGAGAGAATGAGAGAGAATGAGAGGGAGAATGAGAGAGAGAAAGAGAATGAGAGAGAATGAGAGAGAGAGGAAGAAAGAGAGAAAGAGAATGAGAGAGAGAAAGAGAAAGAGAATGAGAGAGAATGAGAGAGGGAGAGAAAGAGAGGGAGAGAATGAGAGAGAGAATGACAGAAAGTGAGAGGGAGAATGAGAGAAAGAGAGAGAGAGAATGAGAGAGGGAAAGAGAATAAGAGAGAATGTGAGAGGGAGAGAGAATGAGAGAGAGAATGAGAGAAAGAGAAAGGGAGGGAGGGAGGGAGGGAGAGAGATCACTGTTGTGTGGAAGATCACAGGCTTTTCATATTAATTCAAATCCTAACTTGAAAGATAGAAAGATCTTGTCTGGTGGCCTGAAGATACATTATTAAGTTATTGTAGAAAATGACCCAACTTTGTTGTCTATCTAATTTATCCTAGGATAATTCATCTTTGTTATCCTGGCCATGAAAGGTAGGAGAGAGAGAGAGAGAGGGAGGGAGGGAGAGAGAGACTAATCCAAACCAGAAATTCTCCCCTATATTTTATGGGATGGGGGTCTCCATCTCAAATAACTTCATAGCCCCATAACTTCCTGTCCTCCTTGATTTCTTGATTTGATGGACTGGTAGTCTCCATCTCAAGACCCATAACTTCCTGTCCTCCTTTGATTTCTTGATTTGATGGAGTTGGTAGACTCCATGGTAGCCTCCATCTCATATAGCTCCATAGCTCCATAAATGTGCTTTCTTGATCTTCATAGAATGCAGAAGTTATCCCTTGATGTGGTCCCATCTTCAGGCTACCTACCAAATGAGGCAGCTTGTGGTCTGATTCACCTGCAGATATGAACCATGCTCAGAAATTTCATAATAACCCATTAACTCCTCTTTCTCTGTCCTTTTCCCTATGCGTGTGTTCACCATAATTTAGGAGTAGATTGACACTGTCACCAGTATTAATCATAGTAGGAAGGTCTAGTTTTCTGACTACCCTTAGAACCGGGGGTGGGTGAGTGTTGCACATTCCAGCTTGAACTAATCAAGGTTAAATTGAACAAATCGTGGTTAAAATTCACGATGATTTAGATGAAACTTAACTCTGTTCTTACAACCTGCTTACAACTGAAGACTTAGCAGATGCATTCATAAAGATAAAGGTTTCCTTGCACATTTGTGCTAGTCATTCCTGACTCTAGGGGACAGTGCTCATCTCCGTTTCAAAGCCGAAGAGCCAGCGCTGTCCGAAGACGTCTCCGTGGTCATGTGGCCGGCATGACTCAACGCCAAAGGCGCACGGAACGCTGTTCCCTTCCCACCAAAGGTGGTCCCTATTTTTTGACTTGCATTTTTTACCTGCTTTCGAACTGCTGGGTTGACAGAAGCTGGGACAAGTTACGGGAGCGCACCCTGTTACGCAGCACTAGGGATTCGAACCGCTGAACTGCCGACCTTTCGATCGACAAGCTCAGCATCTTAGCCACTGGGCCACCACGTCCCTTACATACAACATGCTAAATGTAGGGCAGTTCCCATTCATGTTGAACATTTTGTAGCTTATTCTGTTGGTTACCTTAGAAATCAGTATGTTGTATAAACCCAAGAAGGTTAAGCTAAGTCCTGAAATCAGGATAATTGTGCTGACTTATAATAGTTCAATTTCCATCTCCTTCCATGCATTTAAATACCCCAGTCTTAAGCATTTAAAAAAAAATTTAAAAACCTTTCAAACACCAGATTGGGTTTAGACTAAGAAGACATTCTATTAAGAATCCTTCTTTCTGTACGTTTTTTTTTTTTTTAAAGAAAGCTATATTTAATCCTCTATTTTTTGTGTGTGTTGCTCGAGCTTGTTTGTATTTTGGGTTTGTGATATACAGGGTTACAAGCATGCATATATATGCATGTACATTAAATGTGAATAAGCCATAAATTTTTATTTTCAATAGTTCATCATCCTGAATGGTATATATATATATATATATTTTCATTGTGTTGCTGAATGCAAGTAAATGCGCTCAAGGATTTTCTTTCTTTCTTTTCTTTTTTTAAATCCCTGCCTCTAGCCTTTTTTCTAAAATCTGAATACCCCAGCATTTATTTATGGGTCTTATTTTTCCAGCTTTTTGCAATCTGTCTTCTGGAGCAGCGTGGAGATGTCAACAATATGAAAGCTTAATTGAATGAGATGTGAGTTAAAAAATAGATTAAATAGCAGCAAAATGATGACTTTGCCCGTATAAGAATAAAATGGTTAAATAGATCACCCCTCTCTCTTCTTCTTCTTCTTCTTCTTCTTTTTTTTTCTTGACTGGAACAACAGTGGGGGGGTGGGATCTCTTCTAATGTAAAGTGGATATGGACTTGTTCAGATTATTTTGACATTAGAAGAATAGTAGAAATAGAGACGTGGTACCAATAGAGATGATTTGTGGGCCAAGGTTGAACGATTGGGTCCATGGTCTTCTCTGAGCTTGGTGATTTTCTTGCAGAGGTTTCATTGTGCAATTAGGTAACGGCATTAGGACTAGAAGGGAGACGACAGGTTTGTAGAAAGGAGGAGGAGGAGGAGGAGGAGGAGGAGGAGGAGGAGGAGGAGGAGGAGGAGGAGGAGGAGGAGGAGGACGACTGTGGACTCCTTGGGGCTCTCTGAACTTGGTGGGTTTCTTGAAGATGTTTCATTGCCCAGATAGATAACATCATCAGGTCTAAAAGGGAGACAGATTTGTGGAAAGGAGGAGGAGGAGGAGGAGGAGGAGGAGGAGGAGGAGGAGGAGGAAGACTGCGGGGTCCTTGATGGTCTCTGAACTTGGTGGGTTTCTTGCAGATGTTTCATTATCCAACTAGGTAACATAATCAACTGATAATCTGGTGGTTGCTTAACAATCATAGCAAAGAAGTCATCAAATCACATGCAATTCTCGTAGCAACTGCCTTGTTTAACAAAGCAAATTCTGGTCCCAATTGTGGTCGTACGTCGAGGACTACCTGTAATGTCCTACTAACTCAATTCCCATTGCTGTGTTCACTGGTTGGATGAACGGAGAGTTATTACTTCCTCGAGTAATGTTTTAATGAAAACTTTATTATTTAAATGACAGAAATGGCCCAGCAGGGACCAAAATATCAGTGTTGGCGTCCTGCTAATATAAGGAAGATTAATTACTTTTTGGGGGGTGGGGAGGAGGGGAGAAATTCTTTTCTCTCCTTCAGGATGTGCTGCTTTATGGGTTGAGTACCTCATGTTCTCCAATATCTAGAGTTTCAGATTCCAGATTCAGTATGGATTGTCCTCACAATGGAAAGACCTTGAGCAGATGGTTCATTAAGATTGGGATGAAATTATAGGACACCATTTTTGAGAGTGACAGTCCGAGATTCCTCTTGGGGTAGGGGGTGTGCTCATACAGCCCCCCCTCCTCAGTAAGAGAACTTGTTTGTCAAGGCAGCTGCCGAGAAACCCTTTCTTGTAAAGCAGACCATTAGCCAGGTGGCCAAACGACCATTAGCTACCTCGATGTCATATCGAGATGGACTATCACCTTCGGTGGGAAGAAGAGGCAGTAGAAATGGTAGGCTGCCAGACCTTCTGGCATTTCTCCCAGGTGCCCTTCTGACTCCTCATCGTCATAATAGTTGAATTTCTCAGAAGCTTCTGTCGAACGCTATTAATAAGTTTTTAAAAAAAGGCCAGAACAAGAGATTTTAGGTGGCACAAGGAGAATTGTCATTAAATCTTAGCTGCGGGCAAACTTTAAGATTACATTGTGCCACGATACCAGAGGACCGGTTCGGACCGGTTTGCACAAACTGGTAGTGGAAATCGCCGGTGAGACATTTTTGAGGCCGGGCGAATGCGTGGAAGGCGCACTCACCAGCAAAGCGCATGTGTGAGCGCCAGTGGTGGATTGCGCCTGGTTCGGACCGGTTCGCAAGAACCGGTAGTAAAACCGACAGGAGGCCCCGCCCACTGCCCCGGACGTCATCATCGGCGACCTGCACATGCGCAGAAGCTTTGAAGCGCGATCCCGTTGTGAACTGGTAGTAAAGGTAAGTAGAACCCACCCCTGGTGAGTGCGCTCACATTTGCAAACTGGTAGGGAAAGTAAGTGAATACTATCCCTGCAAGATACGGTCTAAAGCAGAGGTGGGAACCCGGAAACCCAGCATAAGTCATGTGCTGGTGGGAATTTCAACCTGTTCTCAGGTTGAGCCATAAGTACCTGTAACATCCTAACCAACTCAATTCCCATTGCGGTACTCACTGGATAGATGAACAGAGAATTATTACTTCCTCAAGATGTTTTAATGAAAAGTTTATTATTTAAATGACAGATATGGCCCAGCAGGGACTGAAATATCAATTGTTGGCGTCATGCTAATGTAAGGAAGATTAATTTTTTTGTGTGTGTGTGGGTGGGGGAGGGAGAGATTCTTTTGAATTCTCTCCTTGTTCTGGACTTTACAATAAAATAATTACCGTCTCTCTCATAGAAATCATGTTTCTCCTCTAAAGCTGTTTTCATTCTATTTCCAGTCATGCTTGGGAGACTAGCTGCTGTTTATGCATGGAGGAGAATCCTGCAGAATAATTAGATTCTTACACCACCAATTTTCTTCTCCCATCAAAATTCATTCGAACGTGGAATTTGGACAGTTTTCCCTACCACTTTTTCAGCTGCAAGGTTCATTAGGCACACGTATTTGGGGATGTCCAGACTGAGGATCCTCGTGAGATAGGGGTGGTTATACTTTGGTTGGGTTAAAACCCCCGGTGTCTTGTGGCAACAACACACCCCAATCATAATGCCATCCTAAAAATTTTGCAACGCTCATTTGCAAAGACAGCAAATGGTCGGTTGGCACCCGGAGCTGGAAAAGTAGCTTTGAGTTCTTTAAATGCAAAATCATCTAGACCCGTGATGACGGGTGGCACGTGGAGCCATATCGGTGGGCACGCAAGCTCAGCTGTGGCATGCATGTCCGCACCAGCCAGCTGATTTTTGGGCCTTCTGGGCCCACTGGAAGTCAACAAATGGGCTATTTCTGGCCTCTGGGAGGAGGGAAAGGCCGTTTTCGCCCTCCCCAGACTCCTAGAAAGGTTCTGGAGCCTGGGGAGAGCAAAAAACGGGCCTACCGGGCCCACCGTGCGATCGCGTGCCAAAAGCGGTTGGGTGCTCATGTGCGGGGGGGTGGGGCACATAGAATTATAGGTGGGCACATGCACGCACAACCCCCCCCCCATGCTCGACCCGCTTTTGGCACGCAATGGCAAAAAGTTTAGCTATCACTGATCTAGAAATAATGCAGAGAAGACCCATAAAAATGATCAGAGGTCTGGAGGCTAAAGTATATGATGAATGTGTCAACTGTCCAGTTGGTGAATCCATGTTGTGGCCTGCCAGTGGCCAGCAGAGCTGGTAGCAGACTCGGACAGTGAGGAGGTTGGGGAGGAACATGGGCCAGTCCTGGAGTCTGGGGAAGGCTCTGATGAGGGCTCTGTGTCGGAGGCAGAGAGGGGGCCAGGGCCGTCCGATGGTTATCAGCTGCCTTTGGAGTTGGACATCAGTGGGGCAGAAGAACAGCTGGAGCCTGTTCCCAATGTGCGCATGCGCAGAGCTGCCAGGAGAAGGGAACACCTAAGGAACAAGGACCGGCTCAGGAGTAAAGGCACAGGTGGATGGTGAATGACCCCAATAAAGAGGAGCGAAAGGGACGGAGCGTTTGCAGGAGACAATTAGTTCAATTCATGAGGATGAAGATCTGTTCCTGACTTCTTGCCAAGTAATTGTTGTTACAACATGGCGTTTGGAAGATATCGGCCTAGCCATTCTCCAAGCCTGATAAAGGTCTGTAGTTGTCAAATCTCATGAAAGACTGTTTGCCGGGACTTTGCTGGAGAGGAATTCCCTTTAAACCAGGGGTGAAATCCAGCAGGTTCTGACAGGTTCTGGAAATTTTGAGCAGTTCGGAGAACCGGCAAATACCACCTCTGGCTGGCCCCGGAGTGGGGTGGGAATGGATTTTGCAGTATCCTTCCCCTGCCATGCCCACCAAGCCATGCCCACCAAGCCACCCCACCCCCATCAAGCCACGCCCACAGAACCGGTAGTAAAAAAAAATGGATTTCACCACTTCTTTAAACTAAATAAAAGGGGTTTTATCGGGACGACGTGTCTGCTTCATGATCTTGGGAGACCTAGGTCAGAACAATCCAGAAAAAGAAACTCCTGGGACATTATTTTACCAAGAGTATAAACTTTTACTGAATAAACCACATTGGCACAGAAGAAGCAAAACCAGCTCTAGGGTTTCCCACGCAAAAGGAAGCCAAGTTAATTCCCCCTTTCCCTACAGGCCACCCACAGTCCGTTATGTCCACCAATCACTTCTGCTTTATTTTGTTATGGGAACCTGCCGGCCACGCTGAAACATCTGCTCGGTGTGTCCTTGAGGCAAGTTCTCATGGGAACTGACGGATGCTTGGAAACCGTTCCCCCTACCCTTGTGTTCCATCCCACTTCCCTCCCTTTCATCGTCAAGCTGTCAGAGAAGCAGAATGTAAGTGAAAGTGCAAGGCAGTTTTGACAGAATGATTAAGGGGTTGTGTCTAGTCTAACGAAAAGGAGAAGAGAAGAGAAGAGAAGAGAAGAGAAGAGAAGAGAAGAGAAGAGAAGAGAAGAGACCTTGTAGGTCATCTAGTCCAACCCCCTGCCCAAGCAGGAGACCCTACACCATTTCTGACCAATGGTAGCCCAGTCTCTTCTTGAAAGCTTCCAGGGATGAAGCTCCCACAACTTTTGAAGGCAACTTCTGTTCCATCAGTTGATTGTTCTCACTGTCAGAAAATTCCTCCTTATTTCCAGGTTGAATCTCTCCTTGATCACTTTCCATCCATTATTCCTTATCTGGCCTTTGGGTGGCTTGGGAAACAGGTTGACTCCTTCCTCTCTCTGGCAGCCCCTCAAACATTGGAAGACTGCTATCCTATCTCCCCTGGTCCTTTTCTTCCCTCGACCAGCCATGCCCAGTTCCTGCAACCTTTCATCGTCTGTTTTAGTCTCCAGTCCCCTAATCATCCTGGTTGTTTTTTAACTGGTATCTATTCATAACATCATTTCAGACTGAGAAGGATGGCAAAGAAAACAAAACAAAACACATTGATAGTGTTGTGGCTCCGTTACCTGAGCCTGTGTCATCAGCAGGAGAGGACTCCGAGAGTGAAGGGGAGGAGTTGGCAAGGCCTCCCTCTCCAGGACCCTC